GCCGCGGGTGCCTTGTGCGGGCCGTTCCCGTGTCGGACGGAGAGGTTGGCGGGGAGGGAGTGTCGGGGGGGGGGGAGGCAGGAGACAGGGAGGAGGAAGCGGAAGGGCCCCGTGGCGGCTTGGAGGAGGAGGCGGAGGAGTGGGATAGACCCAGCGCTTTTACCCCCAGCCCCGCCCCTTGCTCCTCCTGACCCCCGCCCTCCCTCCCTCCCTCTTTCTCCCCCTCGTGGACCAAGACCCGCAACTTTCTCTCCTCCGCCGAGTCACCCAGGCCCACCGGAGAGGTTCCCCCGAATTCTCTTGGGAGGTTTTCGGGGGCAATGTACTTCAACAAATCCACAGAGGGTTGCGCCGAGACTTCGATCTTCTCCTGGACTGCCTGTGGCAGGACCGAGGCGAGAAGGCGCCAAGCCCCTCCCACCAGGAACGGCACGTTCACCACGCAGATGCGGAGAACCCGACCCGGGTAGTGGGCGTGCATCAAGTGGGAGGTGGTCCGCAGCACCTCCAGCACGTCCGGTGTGAGGCTGGTCAGTCCCAGGCCCCCTATGTCCAGCACGGTCATCGCCCTCCCGTCGTCCTCCCCCTCCCCTTCCCGCCGGAGCGCCCGGTACAAAAACTCGTTGAAGTACACGTAATGCCGACCAATCTCCGCCGCGCCGATCCCCCGCTTTCGCAAGGCCCCCAGGTCCATCCGGCCCGGTTGTTCGAAGACGACGAGTTCGCCCCCCCGGCCTCGGCCGTGCACGTAGTGCGGGTAATGCTCCTTGATCGCGGCAAAGTCCGGGTGGGGCCGTCGGAGGATCCCGTCCACGCCTTCCCGCGCCCGCCACGCCAAGGAAGCCCGGTAGTGGGCCTGGGCCTTGCCCCGATCCCCGCCTGCAGCCTGGAGGAAGGTGGCGGGGACAGGTGGGTCCGATTCCGGGCCGGTGAGGTGGGAGGAGGAGACGAAAGGGGGCGAGGCAGGGAGGGAGGGAGGAAGGGAGGGAGGGGAGGGGAGGGGGGGGGGGGAGGGACGGGCCGGCCTGGGAACCGTCTAGTTCCCCCCCCTGGGGACGGGACGGACGGCGTGAAGGACTCCCTCCCAACTTCGGGCCCTCCCGAGTCCTTGCGCTCCTGCCTGCCAGAGCGCATCCACCCATCCTTACTGTCCCCCCTCCTCCCGCCCTCCGCCACGCCCCGGCCTTCTCCATTCTGCGGAGCACCAGGCACGAGACCAACGTCACGCAAACGACCGCCGTCACTGAGGATGCCCAGGCGGGGTATCCGCCCACCGTCACCCAGGACCGCCTCGAGAACGTGAGCGCGCCGACGCTCGCCCCAACGACCCAGCCTAAGGCGTCCATTGGGCCCAGAAAAGCTTCCATTTCCTCCCCCACACGGACCCTGGCGCTGGAAGGGTCCCCCGTATGCTGTCTTCTCCATCCGCACCGGCCTCCTCCCCGCCGGTCCCCGTCTTTCCTCCCCCACGTCGTCCTCTCTGCCGCGTGTCCCCAGACCAGCACGGAAGCGAAGCCGGTCCACGCACGCACTCCCAGCAGATACTCCACGCGAGTCACCCAGCCGGTCCCTAGCACCGCCAGCACCAAAATCAACAACCATCCATACACCCTGGCCTTCGATCGTGGGGAAAGCGGGCGCGTCATCCCCAACCTCCACCTCACCCAGCGAGCCCCCCATTGTCCCCCCCAAAAGCTGAGCAGTGTCAAGGCCCACCAATATGGCGTGTCCGAGGCATAGAAAAACCCCGCATTCAGGCGTCGATCCAGAAAGGAGGGTGCGAAAGGGACAATAAATGATGCAAGGAAGGCATTGCCCAGATCGGCCAGGCCAGCTATCTGATGTCCCGTCGAGTTGCTCTCTTTGGATTTTTTTCCTACAAGTCCCGTCCTCGAGCCGTCCTGTTGGTGAGGCTGGTACCGGAGAGGCAGCTCTGCCGTCATGATATGTAAGATTTTGGAGTGTTTTAGACAGGGGAGAAGTGTGTCATTCTCGAGGCAGTGGTTGACCGCAAGTCACGATCCCGCTTGGTTGTTGCCGGTGGAGGGGGGAGGTAATGCGTCGTGCCTTTTCTCGTCGTGGCAGGAAAATGTCCATTGATGGGGCGACCTCGCTGTGAAGGGGAAGTGATCGATTAAAGGCGTGGTAAGCATCAGCAGCCGACGGAACACAATGGTGGAGGCGTGCAATACGGACCTCGCAAAGAAAAATATTAACCAAATGTGTCGCGTCTCGTTCTCGCCTCGCTCGCTCAACTCAGGCTTTGTAGCAGGGGGAGGTGGGTACTCGTATACCACGCAAACGCGGGCGTCAACCCGTCCCTTGATGTCATGCTGTCGTCCACACATGCCCAACATTGTTTCCTTGAAGCCTCCGGCTGTCCCGAGTGTGTTGGGTGGATAGTTGTGGAGTTCCAGCCCCCCAAATCCTTAGGGCCCGTCTGCCATGTGTGACGGGGAATGAGAAAGTGCTTCTCCCTCATGCCCTTCAACTATCTCCCGCACACACAGCACCAAGCACCCAAGTACCCTCCGCGCTCCTGTACCGACGCACAGTTGTCGGACGGGTGGCACGCATGATATGAGGGCGATGTTCGTGCCCTTTACACGTCTGTCGCCTTTCCCCTTCATTTATCTCCTCGTAATGATGCTGGCCTCCTCCACTGTGGTCAGCTCCCTTCGCCGTTCCTACAGCCTGGCCATGACTAGCACAGCCGCAGCGACTGGGACCTTGTTACTTCCCCAAAAATCTCACATGCGCTTTATGCCGGCTTTTGTTGCCCTCCCTCCCCTCTCCTTGGCCCCACTGCCCCTCCATGCATGCGGCAGCAAGATGGGCTCCGGCGTCCCCGACTTCTGGCTCACGGGGGGAAGCCCGAAGGCGAGCAGCAGTTGTCAAAGTCGTCCCCAGGCGCCTTCCTCGCGCCTTGCGGCGGTCGTTTCCAGAAGCACCAGCCGGAGCAAGGCCACTTCCAGCATCGACAAGCGCACCGCGGGAGTGGGCGGAGGAGACGGCATGGATACTGCGGGGGGGCGCGAATCTCCTTCCATCCCTTTGTCCCCGGCGGAGAGCAGGCTCTTCAAAACCATGCTGGCCGTGGTGAAAGACGAGAATCTTGGAACGACCTTGCGGGTGGCGGGGGGCTGGGTGCGGGACAAGGTGTTGGGGCACTGGAGTGCAGATGGCGAGGTAGATATTGACATTGCCTTGGACAACTTGATGGGCTCTGACTTCGCCGCGATGCTGAACGGGTGGCTGGCTAAGCGGGGGCGTCAAGTGTACAATGTGGGGATCATCAGCGCGAACCCGACGAAGAGCAAGCATTTGGAAACGGCGACCATGCGGGTGGGCTCCTTTTCCATCGACTTTGTGAACCTGCGGACAGAGGCGTACACGGACGAGTCTCGCATTCCATCCATGGGCATAGGAAGTCCAGAGGAGGATGCCATGAGGTAGGGACAGAGGGAGGAAGGGAGGAAGGGAGGGAGAGGGGAAGAGCGAAACGTGCGGTCGCCAGGCGGCGGTGAGGGTCCGACTGTCGGGTTTAGCGTTCTGATCAAGTACCGCGTTGCTTTGACTTAACATTTGCCTGCCCTGTGGCATTTCACGGGCACAGGCGTGACTTGACCATCAACGCCCTCTTCTACAACCTGCACACGGGCCAAATCGAAGACTTCTGCGGACGGGGCCTTCGGGACATGCGGGAAGGCGTGATCCGGACCCCCCTCCCCGCCCTCACCACCCTCCTAGACGACCCCCTCCGCGTGCTCCGGGCCGTGCGCTTCGCTTCCCGTCTGGCTTTTTCCATCAGCGACGAACTCGTCGTCGCCGCCTCGGACCCCCGGGTGCACGGGGCCTTGGCCCATAAAGTCAGCCGGGAGCGGATCGGATCGGAGGTCGATCTGATGATGCGGAGCGGGCAACCGGCGCGGGCGATGGGCTTGATTGCCGAACTGGGTCTGGCAGAAACGGTTTTTCCCGCCCTTTGACGGGAATCGAAGCGGAGGGGGAGGGCGGGGGGGGAGGGCGGGAGGGGGAGGGTGGGGGGGGAGGGCGGGAGGGGGAGGGTGGGGGGGGAGGGCGGGGGGGAAGT